ATTAACCATTCTGCATCTACAGAAAATCACTTTGCTGGGTAAGTCAGGACAAGAGCTCAAGTCCCATCAGTGTGTTGGAACTGTTTGTCCAGGACCTATTGTGTTGTGTATAAGGAAGTTTTGCATGTATGATTATTATATTGCATGTATGATTATTATATTGCATGTTATGAAACCATCTATGTTGCCCCTAAAGTAGATACAGGATGAAGGAAGAGAACATTGGCTTTTTGCAATTATTTTAAACAGAATGGATTTGGAATGTAAGGATTCATGCTATTTTTGCACTGTTTTGTGTATATTGTATAATGTGAATTTAGGAACAGAATTCCTATTTATTGTTGTTAAGAAAGTTCTGCACAGATATTTGGGATGTACTTCTTGAAGAAAAATGAGGTGTTTTTGCTAACATGTGAGGATTTACTTGTAACAACCTCTTTAATAGTACAGATTTTTTTTGCCCCTTAGAACAGATTTTTTCCTTAGCAGCTCAGAACAAGCCATGAGTAAAAGCATGTGCAGACAAAACCAGAGCAGTAAGGATCAGGGTAAGGTGGAGGAGGGGGAAGGGGATCCCTGGGTGACTGCTGGTGCCTCCCTGGGGCCTTGAGCACAGGCAGCATCTTCTCGAGAATGGGCTGTCCTGTGTCCTGCAGCCCTTCACCCTGAAGCTGTGAGTGCAGAGAGCTGGATGTGGGAAGAGGATTTACAGCCAGAGCTTGGAAACCCCCTGCATCCTGACCTAAGGCACTTCTCAGGCATGGGATGTGCAGTTTGACAGCCTTGATCTCTGCGAACACAAGGAGCACTTTAATTCTGAAGTATCCCCAGCAGGATGTTTTCCACCTCCTCATCACATTTCCTATCTTCACTCTTCCCCTTTCTGCTTCTCTCCTCAGATGGAGACACCCTAAAAGCATTATTTTCTTATTTAAATTTCAGCCTCAGACCAACAGCTAATTGATAGTTCTGAAATATTTGTTCAACATACTTGAGATTCAATTAAAACCTGGTTCTCTTCTCCCCTTTCTGCACTTAGCTGCCAAGTACTGCATGACCCTTTGCTATTTTTTGAGAAGTAATTGGCAGATAAATTCTCCTGGAACCACAAGATCTCCAACAAATGCACCAGAGCATTAACACTGTAGACGAGGAATGAGTTCCTGGTCCTTCCCCCTGCATGTATTCTAACACTTTAGGAGGAGCTAAGAGACTTTTAGGTGGAAGTGGAGGCAGAAGGTCAGCACTCAGCTTGCTAAGGAGATGCTGGTTGAGAGATGCATGCTGCTGAGAAATAAATCACTACCAGAAAGAAATTAAAAGAAATAACTCATCACTGTAATTTCCTTTGGATGTTTAGGGCCTGAATAAAAACCTTAATTCCTTGTAAGAAATCAGAGAGCTCCCTTGAAGCATTACATTGTACTTTGCAACATCCCACCCTGCTCGTAAAGCATCAAGCTGTATTCTACCCTCAGCATTTATTTGTCTCAACAGCATGAGTGTGGGCTGTGAGTTTATAAACATGACAGCAAATAAAGAATCTATTGCTCCTAAGTAATTTATTGCATTGAAGTGCAACTCAACATGATCTAACCTGTTACTCTCCTAATTAAAGCTCATTATTTCTAACCCCTGCCCTTTCATGAGTTGTTAACCTGGTAAAACACCATCTGGTTTCTTCAATTACAAACATGTCAGTCCCCTGGCAGGAGAAGAGGGATCTGGCAGTGCTGTAGTGAGGGTGAGGGGAAGAATTTGTGAGTGGTGCAGAGAGGGGGATGGAGGAGGCAGAGGCTTGGGGAAGAGCTGATGGGAGAGTGGTGAGTGAGGTTCCTGTGCCTCAAGAGCCATAGGTTGGCTGAAGCTCCTGGCATTCATCAGGGAGTTTCAGTTTAGGAGACACCACATCCAACACGTTTACCTGAATTTGGCTGGTCCCAGTGATGGAGACCACACAGTAATTGCCTGTACACAGGGCATGGATGGGACCTCAGCAAGGGTTATTCACTCTGGCAAAAAACCCACAAGTTAAAGTAAGTTACCAAAATCTGTAGTTAAAGCCCCTATCAGGCTGTCTTCTTACTTTGTCTCTAGATTTGAGTGGTGGGAAGTTGGGGAGATAGGGCATCTGTGCCAGCCTGTGTCACAGGAGAGTGGCCACGCAGGTGGTTTTTTGGGACACCCTCTCCCCTACAGTGCTGGCCAGCACTCTGAAAGCCAGCATGCTCCAGGGCCAAATTACGGAGTAACTCACAAAATACTAGAAGCTCCCTAAAAAGAGGGATTAAAAGATCATGAGGGCATCCAGCACCTCCCTGCAACCAGAGCAGGCTTCCACTCTGCCCTTCCCAACCATGTTTCTAAAATAAAATAGTGGTACCTTTAAATGAATACTGTTCAGATCACCAAAGAGGACACTGAGCAATTGCTTAAATTTTTAAGAGCCACAAGAAAGGGTGGACCACATTAGGGAGAGAATTGGATGTAACCCTTTTTCAATCTGGGCTGGCCCCAGCTGTTTCTTTGAACTAATTAATTCAAGCAGATCATAAAATTAAAGAGCTCCTAATAAAACCTGGGGATAGTCCTACAGCAATATGAATGTAATCACTCCCAGTTACTTGTTTATTTGCAATTCCTGTTTCCCAAGGCTTCTGGAGGGCTCTTGGGCCAGCACTGCCCCCAGACCTGCCTCCAGGCTTGCACTCACTTGGGGGTTGCTCCTCAGGACTCTTCAAACCAAGGCAGGAATTCCAGAACTGCCCTGGGATCTGCATGGGATCAAAGCTTGGCAGTCCTGTGGGACTGACTTTAATTTACTAAAATACCCTCAGTTTAGCAGTTAACCAGCCCTACACATTTCTGTCCTGCCAGGGTCTAAATGAAGACTCCAATAGGAGGGCATTGCCTGTGCCTCAAATCTGGGGTGCTTTCCCAGATACTGCCTGAGAGAGGGAACATGATGGCAACACCACGGGTCCCCGTGCCATGGGTGATGGGTAGAAGTATTAAGGACAATTTGTGTTTTATAATTGATGAATTTTCTTTAATAACCACTTCATGAATTGGGCTCTGTGTGTGCTGTTTCTATAGAGACTGGGGTTGCTGTGAGTGCACCAGTGGCTGCTCACTGCTCTGCCAATAGGGAATAAATGCCTGAAAACACAACCTGTGAAGCCTATAAAAACTTTTCCCTCTCAAGAAGGCCCTGGGGTGGTCCAGGTGCTAACGTGGTTTTGAGGTCCTCAGCAAGGGCCCACTGGGCTCCCAAGCTGGCTGATCCTGTCCTTGTGGGCACAGTGTGGGTGGTTGCTCAGAGGAAGTAAATTAAAATCAACTTTTTCCAGAGGAGAGGGTTCCACACTAAGGCTCCTTGCTGCCAGCCCCAAGCTGGGCTTGGGATGCCCTCGCTGGGGGTGCCTGTTCCCTGATGCATTAATGCTCCTGGGGCTCAAGCTAGCTTCCTCCAGGAAGGGTCCTGAAGCAAAGGCAGTGGTGTGGAGCCAGACCCATTCCTGGCTCCTGGGCCAGAGAGGACCACAGGAACCCTTCTGCATATTTCAGCACCTTCTCGGTGTCAGCGTCACCTTCACCCCAGCTCTGACCCTTCCTCCTGTGTAAAGATGAAGACCAAAAGAGAGGATGGCTCCTGAGAGCCCCCATGCCTCACCAGGACGGTGGACAACAGCGTGGCTGTCCCCAGGATGCCTGGGCAGGTCACTGTCAGGGGACACTGGGGCTCAGATTGCACCTTCTCTCCCATCAGTGGAGGGTAAGGCTCCTGCCCTTCGACACAGGATCAAGCCAGTGTCTTTAGCCTGCTTCTCACATATCAGACACCTCCCTGCCTGCCCTTGGGGATACTTGGCTGGACATTGTGGGGATGTTATCCCTGAAACCAGCAGCTATTGAGGCAGAGAGCCCAGCACTTTCCCCCCTACCCTGGGGAAGCTCCAGACTTTTTGTTCTGCCTTATTAATGCTTTTAAAGCAATGTGTCATTGCTTCAGCAGCAGAGCCACCACCCTGCCTACTGCCTCTGTAACACATGAGCCAAAGGCCTGCTCCATTCATCAGCCTGAGACTTATGAGGTGCACAAGGCTCCAGTTACCTTGCTGCCCCTGACTGATGAATGAGATGTAGCTGGTTCCTTCCATACCAGAAGCAAAGCAAGTCCAGAGGAGAGTAAAGTCATAATTTCATCAAACTCAGCTCCTTAAGTCTCTACCATGAAGAAATCTTCTGAAACATGAAATTTTCTGCTACGAGACCACTCACGCTCACAGAAGCCAGGGGCAGCACTCCTGCCCAGGAAGGCTGAGCCTATATCCCACCAGCCTCTCTGCACAGTCTGGCTTTGCTCATGAGAGACACTCCAGAAATAGAAAAAGGATTGAAGGTTTTGGCTACTCTGGATTCCTGGGCTGGAGCTGAGCTCTGCTCATCCATCCTCCCCCATAAATCACCCAGCTGCCATTTCCCTCTGCCTCGTGCCTGGCTTTCCTCTCACCTAGGCTGTCTCAAGAGGCTGAGTGAGAGGATGGGGCACAGGCAGTGGAGAATCTCTCCTCCCCAAACCCAGCAGCAGCAGGCAGTGACGCACAGCCCGGAATGAGCTTGGCAGCAGCCCTGGGGTCAGGAGGCACCAAAGGGACCTGTCAGCATGGTCTGGGCAGGCTCTGGGCCAGCAAGCTGCCTTTCCTCCTGGCCCTGTGCAACTCCAGCCAGAGGCCAGCACAATGGGAGCACCTGCAGTGTGCTCAGAGAGTCGCAGGGTCCTTAAAGGCTGCCTTAAAGCAGTTTGTGAAAACAACTCTCTTTGCAAAGTACCTCCATCAATTAAAAAATGCAAAATTTTGAATCAGATAATTAAGAAAAAGCTAAAAAACATCCAGATGCCACCAATGAAATTCTGCACTACTCTCTGCTTTAAGACTGGAGTGAATGTGTCAACATGGAAAGAAACCTGGAGATTCCGCTGCAAAAATCCACATGGATAGAGTGAGCAGATAACTGTTTATTATTGCACATAATCCAGCAGAACAACCGACAGAAAACTCTGGACAGTAGTACACAGATTGTAGTAAACAGCTTGCAAAATCTGTGATGAAGGTATTTTTGTGTGAAGAGTGAAAGGTATCTGCATCTTTGTAAGACCTGAAAAGTACAACACAAAATCCTAGTCAGTTTTGAAAGCATGCAGTTTGAGGTAAATCTGGTATTTTGCATCTAAGAAAATGAAATCCCTAAGGGGCTCTCTCTCTATGTATATATATCCATATCTCAGCACAATATGGATACAGTTATACATCACATAAAAGCAAATCTACCTACTTTTCTCAGAAGATTACTAGGAGGAAAGCACACTACTGAGTGCATATCACATGCATAAAAAATATGGGGGGAAGGAATTACCTTAGCACTGTTGAAAAAGATCCATTTTTGTGCTTAGTGATAAATAAAAGCCCCTCAGGTCTCTCAGTGGGAATTGTCTTGGTGGTGAATAAAAGCAGTTGGTATATTGAAACTGCAGAGTTGGCAAGTGAATGCCAGCAAATGGAGATAAAACATCAAAGGCAGCAGAGCCTGGGGTTTGCAATACATTTATATTTGAGGAAAGAAAAAAAAAAGAAAATAAGCAAATTGCTACTAAACTATGCTCTGTGGAAGTGTAGATGATGCTGCACAGCTTTCTCAGGACTGGTACAGCCACATGGCTTTTAGGAAAGAATCACATTCACTTCCCCCACACTTAATACCACATATTTGCTACTGTGGCAATGTTCCTGAGCTGAATAAGGTTAAAAAATAGACTTGGTTCAAAAAGAAAAGTACTGAATTATTCTCACTCTCTTATGCCATAACTAGAGTAGATAAATTAGACAGGTTTTGCCCCGTGTCTCCAGTGAGTGTAATCCCCTGTATGTCTGCCACTCCGTCTCTGAAATCCTTTCAGACTGACCTTTGAAGCAGACCAGGCATCTGGTTTTTTCCTTAACTATCATTTCCCCATTCTTTCCAGTCCAACAAGGTTTTCCTACCCAGTCCTGTGCTGTGGGACTTCAGGATACACAGAGGTGCACAACCAACTATAAATAACATCTCTGATTATCTTAAAGAGGGATAGAAAATACACATTGCTCTTAAAAGAAGAAATGTCCAAGCACTCAGCCTCACACTGAACTGTAACTTCATCTGTGCTGACTTTCTAAGCTCGCACTGCTAAGGATCAGAGCAGATCATGATGGAAAAATCTCCTTCCAAAGGTCACTCCCTGTGGCAGCTTTGGGAAAATGGGTGCAAATTGCCCAGGCCTCTCAGCCTCGACCACACAAGCAACAGCTACAACTGCCCCACTGTACTCTGCCACTGCTGAAAGCCTGGCTGCTGCATGTTTCTGAGCCCAACACCCAAATACACTGCAGTCACTCACATCTCTGCACTTCTTTCAGGAATAACCTCTCCCACGATAGCCACCCTGCATCCTCTGGCTGGAAAGTCTAATCATTGGGTGCAATGAGAGGCCAGGACCCTCCTGCAGCCCAGCATGCCAAGGGGAGGAACCTGCAGGTGTACGGAGCAATTTCAGCAAGAACCTCCTTTTCACTGTAACTCACAACATTTTCATAGAAAAGAAGGGGTAAAGGGACAAATTCAGCACACCTATTGCCTTTCCCGGTACAGCGGGAAGCCACCCACTGCAAGACGCTTCTGTGCAGAGCACTGCTGGTGGCAGGAGAGTGCTTGGATGGTGCCTGGTCCCAAAAGAGGCCCCATCTCCACCCAGAGCACCCTCACAGACACCAGCAGCCTTGGATCCACCAGTCCCTCACACCCCACCCCGCGGCCCCATCCGTGGTGCATTGGCCGCCGTGGGCAGGACTCGGGTCACACTTCAACAAGCCCAATTTCAACTTGCTCCCCCTCTCAGTCCTCCATACATGGAAAATGATGCCAGGTGACAGAGGAAAGGAAAGACTTTTTGTTCATCCCTTTGGATGACTTCCAGGCACGGAGAGCAGCGTCGTCCACCCCAAGCCATGGCACAGCTCTCATGAGTCATTCTGGTTCTGTATTGCTTCATCTCCATGCCATGGATGACAATCTTTGGAAAATCTCTGACACCCAGTCAACCAAGGGAGTTACAAAACACATCAGTGTGCACACATGAGACCTTCTCACTCATTTTCCTACAGCTACAGATAAATCCCTCATCCCTGGTATGGCAGGACAGTTGATGGCTTTGGTGAGAATAATTTAAGGCAACTGCTATTTTATACAAAGAAGAGGAGACCACAGTGCAGAAACCCTGGCTTTTCCTTGGTAGATTGCAGAGGCCAGCCACAGCCCGGGAGCAGGAAACTGATCTTCAGACACTCGTTTAAGGCTGATGTTTGCAGTGCAACCTTGGGATCTCAAGTCCTCCTCTTAGGTGTTTCCAGGTGGCTGAGCTTTAATCCCCGCCAAGGTCTGAGGTCTCCACCAGCAGCAACGCCTGTCCCAGACACAAATAAATGAGGAAGTCAAGGGAGAGCAAAACACATGATCAACACATCACCACAGCTGTCTGCAAGGCTTTCACCTGTGCAGGCTGAGTGAGACTAAAAACATGACAGAAAGCAGTGCCCAGCAGAGCAGTTTTGTCCCCCGGGAAGTCCAGGAAAAGCAGCCCCATATCCTCCCAGGGGCTTAGAGGTGTCTCTCGTGTTATGTTCACATGAGGCTCAAGGGTCAGCTTCAGCCTTGATGGTAGATTTTGTTTGAAATATTTGAGCCCAAGACAGAAGTCTTGTTCAAGCTCAGGACACTTTTCTATCTGTAGGAGTACCATGGGCATGAGAAACCTCAAAAGATTTTATTGCCACCAAAACCAAATGTAAACCCTTAATTCAAGTGGAAGACCTGAGCAAGCTCAAATCTTACAGATATCCTGATTCATATTTATCTGTAGTAAGACAATTATGTAACAACCACTGCAGAACTAGTACTGGTGCAATTAGAGCTGCAGTTTTCACAGTTTCATATTTTCTAGGTGTTCTTGCATCTTGCTGGTCTGAGTGCCAAGAAATACTATAATGCACAAGTTACCTGGGAGCAGCCATGTTAAAACAACAAATTGAAAGTGTTTCTTGAAGCATTTGCAGTAAACAAATTTCAAATTTAACATCACACACTCTTGCACTGGAATTCTCACTCCATTAAACATGCCCATGGTACTGGAAGGCAAAACTATATGGTGGGACTGTATCCCACCAACACAGTCTATTTCCTAATTTTGAGAAAACTTATGAAATTATGAAGCAATTTCATGCAATAATTTTATGACATTTTATGAAAAGTGAGTCAACCTTAAAACATCCAGTGATGTCTACATATTGAGGATAAAATCTCATTCTGCTTTTTACCTTGTTCAAGAGGCTCATCATGTCAAAAAATGTACAAATAGGATGGCCAGACCAATGTTCAGTAAGATGACCATGCAGATCACAATTGTGTTAGGTCCCTGAAGGAAAAACCCAGAAGAGAGTATTACACACCACAGCTCCAGGGAAGGAGACAGACACAGCTTGATTCTGCTATTCAAAAATACCACAATCACCCCCTCCCAATGCACTGAAATCTGGCACTTAACAACCAGCCTCAATTTCAAACTAGTGGAATGTTTATCCTGCCCTATTCCTACTTCTTCCCTGAAAACTCATTTGAAGGAGGTTAAATTTGGCTTCTTTTGCAGCTAAGTTAGATTAAAGAAGACCCTGACCACAGGAACATGAACTGCTGATCCCATGTCAGGCTGCTCCTCCCAACTCCCTTCTGCATCCACACTGCCTGTGTTTGTAAAAATGCCATTTTTAATATCACAGAATCATAGAATGCTTTAGTTTGGAAGGGGGCCTTGAATATCATCTATTTCCAAACCCCAACAAATGAACCCATGTGAGATTGTTGCAATTTCAGACCAAAGTATTTCCAAGTTGTGCTTTTCTAAAGTCACATCGGAATCATTCACATCCAAAGGGCTGCAAGATGGGACTCAGAGGGCTAATAAAATGTCTGGGTTTCCAGCTGTATTTGCTAAGAGCAAAACTGAGTTTCAATGACTATATTTTAAACTTGGGAAATTGGCTGGTGATTCAACACCACAGTTCAACTCATGAGGTGCCCCTACTAAAAAAAGTAAATGTAATGAGTGAAAGAGAAACACACGAGCTTTTCCTGTTTTTTTCCCCCCAAGTTTCACATCCAAGTTGGCTGGTAATGGGGAGGGAAAAGAAGGTGAGAAAAGTGGATAAAATTAATTGAAAGATGCCTGGTTTTGCACAAATTTTGAAATACGATGTGTCTGAAAACATATCTGCCCAGGTAAAGACAGGAGGTCAAAACAGGAGGGTTGTGAATGTCAGGCCAAGCATGCAGGCAGGGCAGGAGAGGGAGATACCAACACTCTCCTCCAGCAGGCTCTAGGATCCCAAAAAGAGATCTCGGCACCCACTTGGCACCCACTGCAGCCCCAGGCGCTCTGGGTCCTGACAGACCTCATGGGGAACAATAAAAGAAAGGCAAACGTGGCTCCCTGGAGGCTCCCAGGGATGCCCCACATCACCTCTTCACACTCCTCCGCCTTCTGTGCTGCCACCACTGCCGCTGCCTGGGCCGGGCCGCGCTTGGCCCCTGCCTTGGGCTCCGTCCGGCCCAGTGCCCTGGCCTCAGTCTTCCTGTCAGCCATGGGCTCGGCCCGGCCCCCGGCCCTGCGCTCGGGGCTGGGGCGCTGCTGCGGCTCCTTGGGCCGAGGCGGCTCCGGCTTGGCCTCTGCTGCGACCGGCGGCTTCTCCTGCCGGCCCTGGGGCGGGCCAGGGGTTCCCCCCCGGCGCTGGGGCTCCCCCCGGGGCTCCGGGGAGGGCGGCTCATTCTCGGGGAACTGATCCTCCTCATAGTCCGTGGCGGGGGTGACCGGGGACGTCCGCACGGCGTAGCTGTGGTAGCCCTTGAAGAGCTCGACGTCGGGCTCGCGCGCCATGCGCTGCAGAGGCCCGATCTCCATCTGCTCGGCGGGGCGGCCACGGCCCCGCGAGGCCGGGCGGCCCTCGCCATCCGAGGGTGCCGGGCTCCCGCCCGCCTCGGCCCGGCTGCCCGGACCGAGGGCCCTGTCCTGCCGGGGAGCCGCCCTGGCCCGCTTGGCCTCGGGAGGGGTGGCGGCGGGGCTGGGGGCCGGGCTGGCGCGGGGCCGCGGCTCCTCCTGCTCGTGGAGCTGGGGGCTCTCGGGCGGCGTGGGGGGCGGCGGGGCAGCCTCGGGCCGCGGCGCCTCCTCCTCCATGTTGACCGCGTGCTCCGCGTTCTCGATGATCTCCTGCAGCAGCTTCCGCTTCTGGTACTCGGGGCCTGTGGAGAGAAGGGCTGGTGTGAGGAGTCACAGCATCACAGAATAACTAGGCTGGAACTAGAATAACTAGGCTCCGAGATCATCAAGTGCAGCCCATGCCCCAACACCTCAACTAGACCATGGCACCAAGTGCCACATCCAGTCTTTTTTTTAAATACATCCAGGGATGATGACTCTACCACCTCCACAGGCAAAGCAGAGTCACTCTGGGATGGGGGACAGCAGGGTACCCCATGCCCTGGCATCATCATGGCTTGGGCATCTGTGCCCCCAGCAACAATGGGTTTGGGGACCATGGTGCGTGGGTCCAGGCTGCAGTCTAGGAGAGGAGGCACTCCCAAACCAGACCCTCCTGCCAGGAGGAATTTCCTTCAGGAACTCCCAAAGGCTTCAAGCCTTACTGTGGTCTGTCCAGTTAGGAGGAGCTGAAGGAGCGGGCAGGAGCTGCAGATAAGGTTAAAGAAAACAAAGAAAATCTGCAGCCCAGCTTGTTGTGGTCACACAGGTGGGTCATGCTGGGGCTAAGGATGATACAGCTCCCAATGAACTTTGTGGGTTTTTTTATTTAATGGCTGGGAAACTCTTCCATGTGGCTTCCTTGGTGTCAAATAGCATGGTAACTTCGCAGCATACACAGGATGACCAGTGTCATTGGGAAAGGCAGGGTATCCAGATGATCTACATGCCATCCATCATGACAGGAAAAACATATATGGGACAGGGTTGGAAGTTATACAGCCCTCTTGTCTGCCCCAAGCTCCACAACAGCAGCAAAATTACCTGGCATCACCACGAAAGGTGACTCAGGGCTTCAGATTTCCTTTTGGCCTCATCTCACACATTGACTTGTGAGTCCCTAGCAACATTGCCTCACTTCAATTGTCCACCTATCATTAAATCTCTAGTTCTTATTAACCCTACTGCAAATTTCAGCTCAGCCTAGGCCAGGGAAATTCAGACAGAACCTGGCACTGAAGATACCCACCAAAATGCATCACTAAAGAACTGGGAATATCTTGTGGAATAACAACCCTCCACAGTGCTCCACATGCTGAGACATGCTTGGAGAAGGGTCCCCACACATCACTGTGATGCTCATAGCAAGTGAGAACAAGAAGAGCATCCTGTGCAGTGTGAGGTCGTAGAGCAGCTTCTTTGAAAGCAAAGCACCTGCTCTGGCCTCATTCTGCTGAACCCCAGTGATGCTGATGAGTGCAGATGTACAGGGCTTGCTCTGTGCTCCTGAACCACACAGATCCTGGAGCCACTGTCTCTGGCCACCTTAAAGTCCCTCCCCTCATCTCCTCCATCGCAAGGACTGATGCAGACCTGAGTCTGGTTGAGAAATTTGGCTTGGTGCTCCTTTCCCTCTCAGGGGATGATTTGCACACTGCTACCTCCTGTCCATGCAGGCAATGCCTCCACTCAGAGGGGCAGTGGGGAAAAGGAGCACCCTGATTTCAGCTGCTCTGCTCTGCCTGCACACTCCCGTCAATCAGCAGGTGACCCATTCAGGGCCATTTATTTCTGGCTGCTAGTGAGTTATTTGGAAGCCATTTCAACAGTTGTTCAGACTCCTCAAAATAGGCTGCCTGCAGCTCCAGGCTCCTTGCTCTCTCCTGTTGCTTTCTTCTCTTCCTGAATAATTTACAATACAAAACCCCTAACTGACTGGAGGGCAAACACTCACCTCGCCACCTTCATTTCCCAGCACATTTCAGCAAGGGTTTTGGGTTACATCCTTCTCTAAGTTACTAGGGATGAGACCCTAACTGAATTTCAGGGCTCAACAGTTATTAGGGATATGGGGCTTACTGAGCAGGATTGTCTGTGCCAGACACAGCACAGTCAAGCTGCCAGGATAGCAGGGAGAAATTCAGCTACCAAACACTGCTGGGCTCTCCTGGCTGTGTGAGCAGCAGCTCTCAGTCCTAGCAAAATCCAAGGCTGGACTACTGTCTGTTTGTTCCTGGATGGTGCAACCACACAAGAAGGGATATATTCTTGTGCACTTTGGGAATTTAGAAGTTTAAAAGAATCATAGAAGAATAACATGCATTAGGAGCTTAGAAGACTACTGAGAGATCAGGACCCAAGTGAGTCCCTGCATCACAGCAGCAAGAGGATCCAGCACCTGAGGAGCCAGGAGTGGAGGTCAGGCTGCCCCAAGTGTTTTACAGACCGTTTCAATTGTCTCATTCAATTGCCATGGGTGGAAAAAATAATCTAGCTAGATGTCCAAAACCTCCCCATAGGAATTCCAGTTTCCTTTGTCTCTGTGCTATAAATACCCCAGTGTGCAAAGGGTGAATGTAGAGCTGTGAGTGGCAGCTGGAGGCTTATGCGAGGATCAAGCGACGTTTAGCCATTGTTAAATGAAGTGCCACGGGCTGGCTCATGCCCATGCCGGGTGCTCTGGTGTTTCCCCACTCAAAGCCAGCTCCAACTGGCCTTGCTGGGTGCTAGGGAGGAAGAGACAGCCCTCCAGCACGGCGTTTCCCCAGCTTGTAGGTGCAGGACAAGGCGAGAGTTCAGGGAATTTAGGAAAATCTGTCAGCATGGCTCTCCCCAACCAGGCACCAGTTGTTAGCAGTTCCCATTTCCCAGTGTGTGCCCTGGGCCGGGGTGTGGTGCAGGAGATGCAGAGACACCAAAATCAGAGCAGGGGCAGGCATCAGGTTTTGCTGAGCATGAATCCACCTTTGGCTTCTACCCCCATGTTTACCGCTGTGATAGTCCCTTGTGATCCTGCCTCAGTAACCATGGGACACTCTCTCAATAAATCCAGATAATAAGAAAGACAGGATGAAAATTTAGGCACTTGAAATTTTATTTACTGCCCTGTTATTACCTTCGGTCTCTGTAAAGGAAAGTTTTCTAGGAAGAGCATATCTTTAGCTAACTCAGTCCAGGGAAAAGCAGTGGCATTCACAATGCTGCTTCTAATATTACACTTCCCATCTACTAATCCTCAGTGCTTGGTCTCACAGAAGGAAGCTCCCAAGTGTTTTTCCAGCCAAATAATTAGCAGTGATGCTAACAAATTAATAGAGAATCAGAGAAATAGTATATTGTATTAGCTGCTTCCTTATAGGATATTACAGCCCCTAATTAGCAGAGTCTGATTGTTCTGAGGGCCCACAGGATATGGGTTTGTGAGTCAATGTGCAACACTTCTCCAAGAAAAAGCCACAAGGGATATATCTACAGGAGAGCTGCAGATAGCCCTGAGCTTGCTGCCTGTCCTGCCTGCTGTTCTGAGGGCTTTGGTGTGTGGAAAAATAGGAGAAGCTGAGAAACTGTGGGGTTCTCCTCCAGGATATGGTAACAGAGTGAATAAAACAGTTGTGTAAGGAGGACGGCAAATCAGCCAGGGCAAGGGGCTGGCTGCAACTGAGCAAAAGAGGATTTAGGATAGACAGGAGGGCAACTTGTGGAGTTATAAAGTGGGTGAAGCACTTGAACAGATTCCCCATGGAAATTGCAAGACCCCTCTTGGAAGATGCCTCTGATCCTACCTGGCTGGTAGAAGTCTGGGGAGAGCTCCCTGGCCATCATTCTGGCTATGCCTGATTCGTTGTTGGCTGCCTGAGCTGCCTGCTCAGACCCTTCAGCCTTGGCTTTGGCATGAGCCGTCCTGCAGAGAGAAGAGGGGAGAACAGTGAGCACCCTCTGAGCCAAGGTCATCCCAGCTCACACAGCAAATCCTGGCTGGCACCAAAACTGGATCAGCCCATCTGGCATAACAGCACTCAGAATTTGCCCACATGACCCAAAACCTCTCCCTCTCAGGGAGAGAAGAGCAGATTTTCAACATGGAAGGGGCCCAGATGCTCAAGAGCAAGGTGGAAAGGCTGCACACAGGGAACAGGGCAGGTGGATTTGCAAATGTGAGCATGTTCACATGTTGCAGTGAGGCAGCAGGCACTGCAGAATGGGCTCATTGCTGTGCTGCTCAGAGGAATGACCAAGGCATCACACAGGCATCATTGGTGGCTGAACTCTGTGTGTCACCAGCCCTGAGCTGCTGCACCTCACCATACAAGATGGGTTTCCCCAAAATTTCACTCTTGTAGCTCTTCAGCAAACAACATGCCCTGTCCAGGGCTCCTTTACTCACTGCAGCCTGACAGGCTGATCTCAGCAGAGCTGTTGTCTCCCTCTCAGCTTGGCTCTCTGAGTCCTCTCTGCTCCCTCCCAGCACATCTCTTCCTTGTTCCATAGGGTTACAGGCTATGGGAGTTATTTTACTGGCCGGCTGTCATATTCCTCACATGCCTCATGCTCGGGGCCCTGTGATCTTCTTGCTAAAAGCAGGGCTGGCTTTACAGCCCAGCTGCTCACAGTCTGGGAAGGAGCTGACTTCAAACAGCAAAGTTGCACCTTAAAATTAAGGGTGGATGAAGCACAGTATGTTCAGCTGCTTTGTTGCACTCAGGTCTTACTGAGTGCTGCCTTCCCCATGCTCTCAGCATCATATTTTCTGAGTCTCTCCATATTCCCTGTTTCATGTACAAATCCACATATTTTTGTGTGATAAGCAGTTAGCATTCCTCAAACACCAATTCATCCTAAATAACAACCTATAATGTGGTCTTAGGGTGTCTGATGAGCCCTTTTCAGGTGCAGGTTGGTATCTGGTCATGTTTTAGGACAAAAAAGGAGGAAAGATGCAGTTCTCATTCCTGAAGTGAAAACACTCCAGAGGAATTTTTGGACTGTTAGTCATGAAATGAGGATTGATTCCTTCCCATTAAACTAAGATGCAGTAGGCAGACAAGACAAGCTGAAGTCTGAATACTCAACAGGTGCAATGAAAAGAAAATAGAAATGCTGTTCTGAGACCCTTACAAGGGAGAAGATACACACATACTGAGTAGCTGCAGGGAAAGAACTAAAAGTAGGGCATCAATCCCAACTGATACAGGCAACAGTGTGACTTGACAAGGGGCCAAAAACACTGTTCAGGGCCCTGTGATAGAGAAGAGGGTGCAGAGCTGCTGTGGCTCAGCCTGTCCCTCCCTGGGATGACATCCCACTCTGCTGGAGCCATGATTCACCTCCCTGCCCACACTCACACATTATCTCTCTGCTTTCTCTGCAGGTTCAGCTGCCTGGGATTGCAGTCATTCTTGGTCTTTTTATCCAAAATTATTACAGCTCCTAAAAAACCCAGAGACATGATGAGGCAGAAAACAGCATTTTTAGGCTGCTGCTTGCAAGCAGGGGGTCTGAGCCAGTTCTGAACAGAGAAAGCACCTCCTTTTTTGGTAGCATATAATCAGTGTGATTAATTCCACTATAATCTGGCAGGGGCCAAGGGGGATGTGTCTGTGCTCTCCATGCCTGGGGGATGAGAGTGGGCTGGGTGTGCTGTGCCTGGGGCACACAGCCTGCCTGGCGCCGGCCCCAGGGAAGAGGCTTGAAGGGAGCATCCAGCTCTTCATCCTGGCAGGACGTGCTCCAGGCCCTGCCTTTGTCCTGCTGCTCCTGGAGGATGAGATTCACCATCAAGAGATAATATTCGCCCTTTCAGCTGCTCTCTGAGCCAGGCAGATGCTATCCTGACCAATTCCCAGCCAGACAATCAGCCAGCTGGCCCCAGCTGGGGGAGCAGCAAGCAGCTCCTGGCAAGTGCTTTCCTCAAAGTAGCTCCCAAAGAAGTAATCTGGAAATGCACTAGATGTGGGGTCTGCTCTCACTAGTAAGGACAGAACTGGACATGTCACCAAGTGGATGCAGATGGCTCCTGCATGCTCAGCTCTCTCCCAGCACCTGGGGACAACATAAGAGAATAGTCTGGGGATGTTGGAAGTTGAGGTAGCTCCCAGTTATGCTTTTCTTCTGCTGGAGTTTTGCTTTCCTCCAGAGAAGATGCTGGATGCTATTTGATGGCAATTCCTTCAGGTGGAGAGATGGCAAGACCAAGAAGATCCAGCCTGGGCTGCAGAGGCTGCAGTGAGGATGCTGTGAGAGGTGGGGAGCTGCCATCACTGTGAGACACCCCAGCCCCAAGAGCAGCAGGGCTCTACAATGAGGGGTGTGAGGGCAGGGACACTGGGGCAGCTCCCAGGCTGCACACACAGAGTGGTGACAAGGAACTGAGCAGCACAACTTTGGCATCCTGCACTGCCCCACGGCAGCTCTCACTCTGTGGGACACAGCTGCCCTCTGCTCCTGTCCCCCTGCTTGCAAAGTCATCCAGAGGTGTTTGATTTGAGGGGGACTATGGTCAACAGCTGCACTTTCAAATCTGGCACCTCCAGCAGGAGACCACATGTCGGCCCTGTCAGCATCCCAGGAGAGCACTGCTCTCCAGCCAGCACATCCCAGGAGAGCACATCCCACAGCCAGCACATCCCAGGAGAGCACTGCTCTCCAGCCAGCACATCCCAGGAGAGCACATCCCACAGCCAGCACATCCCAGGAGAGCACTGCTCCCACAGCCAGCAGCCTGGCCCCAGCAGGGATCCTGGCTCCATTGCTGAGATCATTTATCTGGCAGCAGCCAGGTGATGAACGTTTGGCTTTCAGAGACATGGCATGGTGTCTTAAGTTCACTTTCCCTGGTTGAGCCCCCATCCCCAGGGCATCAAGGGATGCAGTGCTGCTCACAGCCCTCCAAAAAAAACCACACACTGAGGGTTTAGTAGCACTGTGACAAAGCCCAGCCTAGAGGAAAGGGTCCAGCCATAATAATAACATCTAACTGGCTTCGAGTATCCCTGAATTTATTATTTATCTGCGTGGCTGGCAGAGCCTGGGAGCTCAGCACAGAGGAAAACTTGAGCCTGGCAGCAAAGTAGGAGACAAAAGCCAGCCACCCTGGGAGAGCTCAGTGCATGCAGCACAACAGCCTGTCCCATCCCACACCCTGGGGTCTGCCAGGAGCAGGAGCTAAGGAAAAAAAAAGCCCAGGGTGAGGTTTGAGGGTGTCAGGAAGGTGACTGTCAAACCTCAGAGGTGAAACGTGCAAGAGGAAAAATGTCTTCCAAGGTTAAGATCTTAAAAAGCAGAATGAGCTTTCACAAAAAGGAAATGCTAGCCTTGATAAATTTGATGCTATTTAGGCACACTTTAATCAGGGCCACACTTTTTTATTTACTGCTGTTCTGTTGTCAGCTCCCAGTAACTCTGCAGTAAACACCCCCTGCAAAAACCAGCAGAGGAGAAAGTCTCGAGATAGACGAGCTCAGCAGGAAACTGAAACACAGACCCAGGGGCTTTAGAGCAGCCAGCAGCAGAATCCAAAAGACCCTTTTCAAGACATCACTGGAAAATGAGCCATAAACAATAAACACATCCAGCTGGAGGAAATAAACACCAAGAGAGACCTTTACAAACCCACTCCAGTGCTCCCCATCCCAGAAAGCAGCACTGCCAGGATGAGCGCTTCCCAACTGCACCCTGAGCCATCTCCCTGGGCAGTGCTGTTAAAAATAGCTCCAGTGAATTCTTTGCAAGGAGGAGCAGCAGCTCGGAGCCAAGCTCAGGGGAGGCATGTGGGCAATGTCTGCAGCCCCTGTCCCAGCCCTGCTGCCACTGCCTCCCGGCTGGATCACAGCGGTTGCCGGGCTTCACACCCCAGCACGACGGCAGGGTTAAATGCATCTGCTGCTTTATTTGCTCCTCTGGCATTGCTCTAATGCTTTAATCGTTTTGGTACTAGTGCAGGACAGAGCACCACTCCTGTCCTTCCTGGCCATCTCCCAGAAACCCTGCCTGAATCATTCCTCCAACTGCTGCTAAAATCCCCCATGGACACACGAGCCGCAGCTGAGCACTGCGCTAACAGGTGAGGCCCAACCCCAGCCAGCACGCCCGTCTCTTTGGACAGTTTATGTGGTTTTGCACATCCACATCGGATTAGACTGCAAATGAAATTGGAATTAGCAGGGAATACTGCAAATACCAGACAGGGCTGGGGTGCCTGAAAATGCAGCAATGACCTTGCAGCTAGTAATAGGGGAAGAGTTCAGCTCTCTGCCCTCACATTCACTGTCCTTCCTTCTCCAGGGTCTCCCTTCTCCCATTGATTCAGCAAACTCTGAGCAAGGACCAACTGAACACCTCTGAACCCAGTCCATTCTATGATACTATGATTATTGCCATTCTTGATATTAGGAGCTGTCTAGAAGACCATTAAGCAAAAGTAATTAATGAGTCAGTTCTAGGAAGATAATCTTCTGCTGAACTCCCCTCTCCTGGAAACTGGCTTTTCCACTCCCAGCCAAATCTCTGCTCCAGCATCCAGCAGGAATCATTTTGTCCTTCTGAAGAAACTTAAAATAATTGTTTGTCTTGGCAGGAATGTTTGCAGCACTCAGAAGGGATCAAGAGTAAGCTGAAGAAGTGTTTTTGTTAATGGCAACACAATCCCTTCTGTGCTCACATTGTGAAGGGCAAGAGGACACAGACCCGACCAGTACACACCTGGGCTGGGACTGGATGACATTTAAAGGTCCCTTCCAGAATTCTATGATTGTACACTCTGACTAGGACAGAACTTTCTGGCTTCTCCATTTGACACACTACTGCCACCTTGCTAGCTGGAGCATCCCTTTCTTCCTGCTCAATCCCAATCCATCTCCTTTGTGTCTCTCCCTGTGCCTCCCCATGCATGCAGATACCAGCAAA